CATCATTTCCACTTGAAGAAAAACTGAATTTCAAAGCTGAAAGTTGCGTTTATGCACCACGAGAACATTGCAGATGTTCATGCGATTTTGTATTTTTCTGAAAATAATTCGAATAATGGAACCTAGGTGGAATATTAATTTGTCTGTTAAACATTAAAAGAAGTGTTGTAACTTTAAATATTTTATATCATTGTACGTTGCGTGCATTATTATAAATTTTTCATAAATGCATAAAAATCCACGGTCTTGTGTCAATTATCAATGAAGCAAATTCGCAAAACTTTGGATTTTTGGATTTTTTTAGAATAACCTACCGCCTCAATGGCTTAAAGTAGATAGACTCTGATTGCTTGTCAATGAGCCACAATTATTCATTAATCAATTCGCTTGTCCAACGAGCGTTATCCATCAATTTTGAGTATTCTCTTTCAAAATAATAGAGAAACGATCCCTATAATAGTGAACGTTAACGATGTTTGTTCGCCAGGGCATTACCACTAAACTTACCTCTCAAAAACTTCGAATTTACGAGGCATCTTGAAGTAATTGCAAACAACTATAAATTCTGTAAAAACTCTCATTAATTCTGCATCAATGTTTGAAGTTATAATTCATGCACTTCTAACCATTAAAAAGTTTTTTCAACATTTGAGGGAAAGAAATCGTTGTTAATCGTCGAATTATTGAGTAATTCAATTGAATTTGAAGGAATTGTAGAATAATTATAATTGAATTACAGAGTGAATTACGTTTGTTGGATTATTAAAATCAGAAAGTTTGCAGTAAGAAAGTTTCATTTTCATTTGATGTAAAAACTCTAGTTGCCATATATTTATAGCAGATTTGAAAGCGTACCTAATACTTAATTGTTTATTTTTTATTTACCGGAGATTTCCTTTAATTTGAAGTATTTTACTTTATATTTTCTCTATTCTCTATAATACAGATTAATAATAAATATTACAAATTTTTAAATTGAGTAATTTAACTCTGTTGTTATGATCTCATAATTGTCAAGAGTTGCATGTATCATTTTTCTTTGCAGTTTTATGCTAAAGTCTTTTCTAAAGCGTTGTGTAATGGTACTCCTGTTTTTTAAAACGAGGATGAAATATTTAGACATAATTAATGGATTTAGTAGATAATAGAGTTAAACGATTCCAAGTTCAGAAATACATAACGATCATATGACACAGATAGTCATAGTATATCTTGTCAATCAGAACTACTTTTTCATTTGGTTTCAAGATTATACATATCCTTTTTAATCCTTATAAAATATAATTAAAAATATTAATAACACTAGTTATACAGACGAATATCAATTAAGTAAATTTAACATAATAGTTAAACTAATATTATTTATTTTTTCACAAAACATTGTAGATTCTTCGTTAACCCTCAAAAAGCTTATATTTTTGAACCTATCAAGTTATTTTCTCACCTTCAACTGTTTCATATTAAAATACTTCTTTCCAACTACTAACAATAAATGACATGAAAGTCAGAAAATCAGTAACCACAGAGTAGGTTCATTTCGGTTATTATCAAAGGATCCTAAAAGATATATTAATATGTTGCAATAAATTCAATTTCTGATAACTTAATTTTTTTTCAATACAAAATATTCCAACTCTGTGTCAATTCCATCTACACAATGACCATGTATTAAACAAATTACTGCAGGAAACGTATCTCTCGAGTAAAACGCATTCACCAAAATCATGATATGTAATTATTCTATAATACTATCTAATCTATCATCAATCTTGATGAAACGATCAACCCTTCACGGCTGCGTCAGCTATAGTTCTTTTCCACTGTGAATAACAGAGAAATTTCTATAGAACGAACAAAAAGATTTTTATATAAAAAAAAAAAAAGTTTGTACAAAGTGCAAGATAAATTTATACGTGACGAAATAAAAGAAATTTTGAAACCGAGATATTTGAGGATGCAGTAACGTCAGGAGACTGCCGAGTTATGATTTTGCGATCGAGAACAGGACGAGACATATTCTCCAAGGGTAAGACGCGCCGTAACGTACAAACATGCATCCAGCCACGGGGCACCATATTGCAAGACAAATAGCCCACGTTAACATCCAGATTAAATAAAATTGCTGGAGGCGAGCGTGCTAGATAGTCACTGGCGTACCGTCAAACGATCAAAGCACAGCTGTTGGGAATGTTCAGTTTTCGACCGCAAACAGTCATATACTTACAGTCTAGCTAGTGAAGGGTTAACGTTTCCTCTAGTCTAATTATTCAGGATAATAATAGTAGGATTAATACGCCATCGATTGCAAGTACGAGATTACTCGGTGCGAGATAACTTTGCTTTGCACCAAGCAAAAGCAAATTATTCGTTGCGTGGTTTAGGTAATTAGAAAATTGAAGCATTTCGTCGTTAGAAATAAAGATTCATACTGTTTATATTGTTAATTATATTAAGTTAGATTTCTGTTCTTTATTTTATATTATGTGTTTCATAATAATAATTATTGTTACAATGTATTATTTATGAATACTATAGTATTAGGAATTGTCATTAGTGGTTGTTTCATTTCTTTAATTATACCAACTATTAATACAGTTCTTTTTGTTGCTCTTCCGATATGTGAATTTCTTGGCAGAAAATAATAGCAATAAATTGTTTTTAAATGAAATAGAATTATGTTATTGTTGAAACGATAGAAAAATTTTATAATTTATATAATTTATTATTAATATAATTATATAATTATATATAAATTTATTAATATTATTAATATAATTTTCATTGTCTTTGCAATGTTATGTAAATGTTTATGCACTTCTAATAAATAATAATATGTAGATAATGATAATTTTTGAATAGATTGTAATTACCGAAGCTAAGTCATTTCACTGAACTTCGATTAAAAGAAAAAGTATTACTGTTTAGAATTATTAATATCATTCTGTTTACTGTTTTTCTATAATATACATTAAGTATAGAAATAACATTTACATTGTGCAAATTACATTTTAAATTTAAATATTTTTCTACCATCTGGAGATTTCAAAGTTTCAATTTTGAGATATTTAGAGAAGATAATACAAAAGTCTAAAACAAATTATATAATCTTGAAGGGCATTAATAAACATAATAATGCTTGATAAGACATATTTTTCAATATTATATGCTTTTCAACTTCAAGTAAAAAAATATTTCAAATTATCAAAGTTACATTTGAAGAAAGACAATTTGTTTTGCTTATAATGGTATCAGAAATTTTAGATGGAAACGAACAATTTGAGCAGTTTTCAAATGAAAACCCTACTTAAAATTAACAAGTGCTAATTCAGTTGTTTAAATAAACTAATATTTCGAAATTGAAATAGTTACTTAAAAAAAGGCATAAAATTGATTTCTATTCCTAATATTTTTATTTATATAACAATATATTCTATTCCTAACACAATTTTCATTCAATTTCCAATAGAAGATAATTGTAATATCTTTACATTTTACTGTATCTAGAAGTAAAATCACTAAAGAAATGAAACACGAATAAAATTTATTGCTATTATCAATAATGAAAATCTTGTGATAAACTAGCAATGATGACACAGAAATTAATAGTACCAATAAAGATTATCAACCTGTCGTCCAACTTATTCATCCATACACTATCATATTGTTATAATATTAATACAATTAAAATACACTAATGAACTTAATTTATCAACAGAGAAATTCGATAATTCAAATTAATTCGTTGCAGATGATGTATTAATAATTTATGTCGGTGATAATTCATGTTCAATAGCTGTTAGTTTGCCAGGCTTACACTTTCATTGAAAAATTAATTTTGATATATACTATATGATGCAAGGGATATGAATATTAACTGAAGAAAGATTTTAGAATTTGAAATATTATCATCCTAAATATATAATATAGATTTAAAATACACCTAAATAAATGCAATAAAAAAGTTACAACGAACTTATATTACAAAACCGATTATCATACATCAAAATTAATTGAAACATATGAATTTCTCAACTCAGTACTTCTTGTTATTTGCGTCTATGCTACGATGTGAAAAAACAAGATTTTGAAAAAAGATTTGGAAAAAATTATTAAAAAATACTGTTTTATAATGAATTCTTTCTGAAAGAAATAATATTGACTATTATCAGTTTTCATTATAATCCAATGTGTGTTGTAATATCTTGGCTCTATCACTTCTAATTGGTCGTTTCTTATTAATAATTCCGATTTAAAAGACATCTATTCACTAATCCTGATTATATAGAAATTTCAAAAATTATATTCACAATTAAATTAAACTTGCATCATACTTTAAACTTAAATATTATCCCCTGTATGTATTAAAATAGATTGCGGACTTTTATGTATTTATAGAGTATAAAATAGTTATAAAATATTCAGTGTAGAGTGTTTTCTCTAATATTTTGTGCATAAAACCATCTTCAACCAAAATTCCACTTTTTTAACAGCATAATAATCAAACTGCTCAAAAATAAGTAATCTTTCAGAGAAATTTTATAGATTTAAAGATCCAAGTGATTTTAAACGGAAACTCGTGTTACACTATAAACTTTTTTCTATTCCATACAATTTCATACAATGCAACTATTATAGTTGGTAGCTTTAATGTTAATCCTACTCTCAAAAGTATGAATTTACATAAAAATCCACGTACAAAACATATTTACATAACAGTAACAGAAGTAAAAAAAGCTATTAAGTTATTGTACACATTAAACTATTAAAAATATTTAATATTAATCTTTATATTTATTATTTATATTAATATTTATGTTTAACATTAACTTGCAATCGACAACGCCGCGTCGTTTCCAGATCGAAGTAATGAATACGATGCGCAAAACAGATGCAACAATGTATTCCGTTTCGTCGAAGCACGATTGTTTTCGAGAAGCACGATTTGTTTTTGAGAAGCGTACACTTGAGGACGTCACGTCAGATAGGGGTAGCAAACTTACCTTCTCGAGTTCCTTTAGACTGGCGGGTGACACATCCGAGTGCCTCCTGAGTTCCGGGCTCCTCGGCGGCGCCAATCCAGAGCCAAGATTTATGATTTGGCTGCCGCTCTGACAGCCGAGTCTCGCGTCACTGTGCCTCCTCTGCAGGGCCTCCAGGACTGGCACCTCGAGCAAGGAATCGGTCGATTCCTGCGTCACGATCGGCTGGTCCCGAGACGCGAGTTTCCGCCGACACACGCTGCACCGCCACGACGACTGAAAAAGATTCTTCGTTAAACTTTCACACGCTGACCGATCGATCCCGAGGGAGGAATCAGACGAGCTTTCTCTCGCCAACCGAACGAATCCTCGGCGTCGTTTCGTTTCGTTTCGTTTCGTTTGGTTAGACATTCCGATATTCAATCGGAACACCAAAAGAGTGATCGGTTGTCCGTCTACATTCGATTCTTTTAATTTACTTAATTCATTCACGCGAGGTGATTTTCGCGACTGTAACGAGCAACGTCTTTTTATTTCTTGAAATTAGAGGGAAGAAACGAGTGATTATAAAAATAGAGTTATTAATCTATTTATTCAGCTCTGTTTAAAAGAGCGTAAATTTGCATAAACATTCATAATCGATCGTGAGCGAGTAAACTCGAGAGTAATTTAAAATTCACGATTAAGAGCGTTTTAAATAAATTATCCCTGGCAATTAAACATAGTGCAATACTCAAGTTACTAATATTTAATTTTAAGATTCAGTTACCAAGTTACTAATATTTAATTTTAAGATTAAGTTACCAAGTTACTAATATTTAATTTTAAGATTAAGTTACCAAGTTACTAATATTTAATTTTAATTAAGATTGTTCGGTCGTATAAAATAAGTCAAAATCGTATAATTCAATATACAAATAAAATTGAAATCTATTCAGATTAAAAAAAGATTAAATGAAAATATATGAATGAAAATTTCAAAAGTTTCCCTTCTTTGTTGGAAAACGCGAAAAATATTAAGTAATAAAATTTATTCTTCATAATGCTTTTTAAAACTTTATTATCATCGCTAATAATCACATCGTAGAAAAGCAGAATTCAATTTCAGTCTAAATTAAACATTAATAAGATTCTTTTTTGCAAACATTTTCACGATATTGACTTCCGTCAAGATGCGAATGATTATTTTTTTATTTTTCAAAAACTTTTTATTTTATCGACCAAATGAAATAAAATTACCTCTTGGCTGAAAACTTTTACCACTGTGTGTATAAATTTCTTCTTTTTTTTCTTTTTTTTTAATATATGTATACTTTTAGCCGCATCAGCTGCTCAGATTATGTGCAATTTTACATTTTTGTGGACATAATTAAAAAAATGAAACCTAAGCAAAAATTTGTTTTCTGTACTAAACATTATATATTATATGTTTGCATAGTGTGTGCATTTTCTGCAGTTTCGCACGTTTAACTCTCCATAGACAATCTGGGCCATTCCAAACGAAATTTCATTATTAAGTTTCTTCGAGTTTTTCTTTTTTCTTTTGTTTTTTTCATTTTTCAAAGATTTGACCCAAAATAAAAATTATTTCGTTAAATAAGCTCGTGGATAGGAATTATTTAGCTTTCTTATAGAGGTTTAAATTTCCCATAAATGTGTAAAAATCCGCAATATAGTTATTAGCAACAATCAGTGCTTTTGTACTCTTTTACGGTAGAAGCTCGATTATTGGAATCCTTATTATTGGAACGATCGGTTATCAGAACGTCGATTAATAGGAAAATCGATTATCGGAACGTTGATTAACGTTCGATTATTTGAATGGCATTGTTATCTAAGAAGTAAAGATGAGAAATGTATGCATACTCAATATGCATATATATTTTGTGTGTGTGTGTGTGTATATATATATATATATATATATATATATATATGTATATATATATATATATATATATATATATATAATGTCTTTGGTTTATAATTTATAGTTTAGAATCTATCAGTTCATGTTGTTTAATATATCGAAATGTCAGTTAAATGAAAACGTATAGTTTTATCTCTATAGACGAAAATTGAAGTAATAAATATTAGAGATTAGAACAGAGTGAAACTGAACGAAATTATATCAACTATTTGTGGTATAAGAAGTGGAAAACGCGAAATCAGAGTCAATATGAAAAGTTTATGGAACTGAATAATACGAAGCATGGAGAAAAAGAGAGAACATCGTCATTGAAATAGTAATATTTTAAAAAAATCGCCCGATTGGCAGCTAAGAAAATAGATACTGAAGAAAGTTCATAAGTATTGATTAAAAAATGTTCGTCTCTAAATATGAATATATAAAATATTTCACAATAAATAGTCTTCTTACAAAAAAAAAAAAAAAAACAGAGTTGTTCGATTTATATTTTGTTTCGAATAATTCGAGATTTTACTGTTATTTATTATTTTATTTTAATAAATAAACTAGCTTCTTTAACTTTAGCATCAAGGCTAAGCATCGCGTTAACGCAATTTTCATTGGCAATTTTTTGCAACAAATTTGTATTATAAAAATTTCATTATTTTTTTTCACGCTGCATTTATAAAAGGAAATTCCAAAAATTTGTTTAATATTTTTTCATCATTATGCCTTCGTTCTAAATTCGTCGAGTACCGTGATAGATTATTGTTTGGTCCTCAATGAGTTAAAAGAAAAAAACGGAACTTGAATAATAAATTGTTTTCTCTCTCAAAATTGTTTTTCGAGGAAGCGTTGATCCTTACGCGATAGGTTAAAAACGGAAAATAAAATTTGGGATGTAAGTGGGTCGGAAAAATAAGAGAAATGAAGAAAAGTTGCTACGGAAATGTTGCAAGGAATAAAACAAACAAATATGAATAGAACTCGGGAGCAAATAACGTTGAATTAAAATCACGAAGACAGGAGAAGAAATACAAGACAAGAAGACAAATTCGAACATTGAATATTCAATGAGAAAAAGAAACGTAAAATGAAATCGTAGAGAAAATGACAATGGCGACGTGAATATAAAAATGAAAATAGATGAAGGATGAAGCAAGATTTGAATAAATTGCATTGTCCTTCCATTAGACTATTAGCTCGCTTTTTTTAAAGTCTTCCAGATATTCAATATAGACGAGAACGTGGATAACGATAATTAAAAATGGCGGCGAGCCAATGCAACGGCGTAGCTATCGTTAATACAGAGACAAGCGATGTTCATCATTTTATGAAATTCACGTGAAGATATATATATATAGTTCTTGATATATTTATAATATAATTTATAATTTAATATCCATAATAATTCAAAGTAATAAATAAATACAATTAATATTGAATTATATGAAATAATAACTTATAATTTTTATAATATCACAGATATGTTAAATATATATAATATATTATTTTGTACAAGAAATTAAATTTAAAATATCTCTGAAAAATAATTTTTCAATCAAGAAATGATATGAAGTTGCATTGAGAAACATGATTTCATTTATTTACGTGTCCACTCACAAAAAGATTAGTAGATTGCGGATTTTTGTGCATTTATATTAAAAGTTTCAAAGTGCAAAATTGCATAGAATGCACATACATGAAATATTCAATGTACCTTTCTATAATGTTCGGTATGTAAAACAGTATTATTTTGTCATCGTATTTTGTTTTATATTTTTTCAATTACATGTATCTTCAAAGACATGAATCGAAACCATTTATTAACATTTTATATCTATTTTAATTCACCATTTCACACAAGATGATATACTCTGTATAATGTATACTTAAATATACACTCGAGTATAATTTTCATATTAAATTTATTAAAATGTTAATTTGCATTTATGAAAACGGTATGAGACAACAAGCTATATGATATTTAGAAAAACAAAGTAAACTGCACAAGGAAACAAATTCCTAATAATATTGAAACAAATATGCAGCAATGTTGTTAACAAAAAAAAAACTTCTCGTAAAAAAACTTAAACGTCGTAGAAGTCGTGTATACGCCGCTGCAGAGAATTCTCGTTTCCTATCTTAGCCTCTATTTCCTGCAGTGTGCGAATTGTATCCATCGTTTTTAATAAATGATTCCCTCCTTCGTGCCACTTTCATTACGAGTTTATTGATTTCGATGCTGCCGTTTAATTTGCAGATTAATATACATTGTTTAAGGTGAGATATTCGTAATTGCGAGTGATGTCTACACGTTTTCATCAATTTCAATATTTTTCTGTTTGTACATAGTGAAAAGATGAAAACAAAAGACGGAAAAAAAGAATGAAAAATTGTAAAATTAAATTGAAACGTCATTTGCAATCTAGCGACAGATAAAATTGAATCTTTTACCTAAATATACTCGACTGTTAGATATCATTAAGATTATTTTTCACATGAACAGGAAATGAATTTATGAATGTATAAGTATAGGTTTTCGGACAAATCGATTCACAAAAGTTTTGAACGAGATGCAAAAACGTTGCACTCTGGACGAAAGGAAATATAAATGTATATTCTTACGTTTGTTACTACACGTTTCCTATAATTAAAAACCACAGAATGTGCTACATGATCGTAGAGTTATTTAACTATTTAACTGTTACAAAGATCAAACACGACTGAATTCATTAATTTTCTGATTCATATTGTGTCCCACGCGTTCCATGAAATATTTCGAACGCACCCACTTTCGTCGTAGGCGGCAACGAAATTACCAGAATGCAGATATCCGAAATTAATTACCGGAATTATCGATTGATTGTCCGAAAATAGACTATTAGCTATAACGCAACACAGAGATTCGAAACGCTCACCGGATCGTCGGAATTCGTCGTCGTCGAATAGCAAGCGCAGTCCTCGCAAACTTTGTGTTGACACTCGCAGCAGATTCTCGAGGCTTCTTCCGGCGCGAACGACTTCCGACACACTCTGCAATCGTCCCCGGTTTTCGACTTCCTGAAACGTCCGAGTGAAGAGATCGTGGTTGAAGTTTCGCGCTCGTGGAGACGCTTTCAGACGAATCGCTTCGACACCAAACGAACTACTATCGTTTAGAAACGAAGAGCTGTCCAGTTTCCGCGAGCTTCTCGACTTTCTCTGCTAAGGTATCGCTGGTTATTCTCGATCGTTCAAATTCTCAGTTTTATGAGTCTCAGCCAGGTATCGAAATGAAAAAATGTCGATTAAATTGCAACGTGAAATATATTTATATTTCAAGATTCAAATTCATTATATTCAGATGATTTCATTTAATTTCATAATTTTATTATATTATTTATAATTATAATTATTTCGACATTATATTTTATTTTAAACATTATATTTGATAAATTTTTAAATTTATCCTTATTAAAATATCATACAATAGAAATGAATGAACTTTAATATTTATTTTACTAATAATTTATCCATCATTAAAAGTTAATGGATTCTTTTCGTTTAAAAAGAAAAAACAAATTCTGTTCAAATTTGTATATTTCGTATGAAAAAAATATTTGTCTTCCATGGAATTTTTGTAGAGAGAAGTTATACTTTTAAATAGTGAATGGAACAGATATTCTAGAACGTTTAATTAAAAATGCATTTTTACAATCGAGTTTTATTCATTTTTCGAAATTTTTCGAAATGTACATTTTTTGAAAAAGTTTCACGATCCATGTTTTAAATAGAACCTATTAAAAGTTCCTTAACTTTTTCGATCCCTGGTTTCAGTCAAACTTTGTGTTTTTAAACGAGGAAATATGCTCTACATAGGATATTCTAAATTTTAGTGTTGGAATTTTTCCAGTATGTTCTATAAATAAAGTATCATACAAAGTTTCATGAAAAAATTGTAACAAGAACGTAAAGCTATACATATATACGTATTATGTAATGCAAAATTGATATCGAAGCTCTGTTGAATTTATTATGGACTGAATTTTTTTATATTTTTTCACGTACAGTTGATTTTTTTTTTTAATATTTCTATATTGTACATTTTTTTATTCAAAGATAATGAACGGAAATTTAAATTTGTGAATTGTAAAATTTTAATGTATTACGCATCAGAAATTTAAAAATAATAACTAACCTAAGAGATCAAGAGATTGGGTCTTCTCGATTAATTCATCATTAAAATTGATCGTATTGATAGTCACACTATTTATATCTTTGCTGTAACTTTTTAATGAAGCATTCATAGATTTTTCACTATATCATATTTTAGTCTTAGAGTTTGATATTTAGTTCAAATTTTGAGTAGCAAAATTCAAGACATCCTATATATTATGAGTAAAAAATTATATAAAATTTATTTTATCTAGAATATTCGGTTGATATTTTGAATTGTTCAATTTCTTGTGTTCAGGTCGTCTAAATTTTAGAATGTACTACTGAAAATACTTACGTCTTCGTTGATTCTGTCGTCGTCTCTTCCTTGGGCTGAGTTTCCTCGGCCGGTGTGACTTTACCTGGACCAAATTTTGTCACTGTAAAAAGAAATAACGCATAATTTACATACGTAATTAATTTTTCAGTAAATATAATTTTAATTTGTACAAAATTGTACAGCATTTAAATAGGAACAGCTAAAAATGTCTCTGTTATTCGTCGTTCTACAAAAAACTGTGAATAATCGTAATTATTAATATCCTTTGAATAATTCGTAATTATTAATGATCCTAGTGCAATTTGTCCTTAGCAGCTTTTATTCTGAACACAAAAGTATCAGGACATTCGTTTCTTCTTTTACATTTTCAATATACTCTTATTTTCTAAAAGATAAGTTAATCATAAAATTAGAAATATTTTGTCATATTACATTGATAGAAGTAACGTAATTCAAACAATGTTACTAATTTTACGCGTATGAAATAAATAAAATAACAAAAATAAATATATAAATCAATAAATAAAGTGGTAAATAAAAAAATTAAGCAACAAATAGATGATAATGTGTAAATATTAATGAATAATTCAATTTAATCTATTGAAACTACGTACGTGTTGTACATAATATGGTAGAATTAAAGTAAATAATATATTAAAAACAAAATTACAAATTTTAATGTATTACGCATCAGAATATATGTACGAATATATTGAAAATTAAAATTAACTACAAACATATGGCATAATAAAAAAGGAATTGTTTGTGAGTTTTTCAAATTTCCATATTCATACAAATCGTTTCAAATCCACAAAGTTAAAATTCGTAGAAAAGAGTACGAACGAAGTGAAAGCGTGCTGCAAATTATTAACTGTTTAAAACTTCGAGGTGGATCCTATTCACTGAACTGAATGAAACAAAGCGCCGCGCTGTATTCGCGTATTATAACAGATACAATATTTACACCGATTAATAACCCTTTGTTTCGCAACGTCTATTGGATCGTACGCTGCAATAAGGTCAGAAAACAAAACGCCAGCCAGCCAGACAGCGTGAACTGCAAGTTATACGGGAACTTGCTTTGTGAGATTTTTTGCTGAAAATGCAAGAACGCTACACCGACAAAGAGACTTGCAAATTTTCTGAACAGGGAAAAACTAAACTTGCAGATGTAGAAGTAAAGAACCGTTCGTTGCGAGACGTTGCGACTGGATTTTAGCTTCGAATTTTAACAATTACAATTCAAACTCGTTGATCTAACATCTCGGCGTACCACAAACTTACGTCAAATTTTCAACGTTTAATTTAAACTGTTGAACAGTGAATCTGAGCTAATTTTTTTAAAGAAATTCCACCTTCGCAATCCTCAACTCATTTTTCACAGAAATGTTATTTTACGTAACATTACAATATCGTGAAAGTGAAGTTTCCCTTGAGAATGCAACAAACTCGGACGTCTTTCGAATAATTGGAAAATTGTAACAATTTATTTTTTAATTATCATAATTGCAAGCAATTTATAAATTCAACCATTGATCCGCGAATGGTTTCACATTCGCGTACCTAAGAAAGAAATAGAATGCATTCATTAAAACGTAGCGTGCAACAACATGGAAAACTCCTAAGCAGTGAGATATGAAATTACACCCCATTTTACCACCATTCACTTCAAATTACAAACCTCATCAGCAAGAGAGAAATCTCAAAGGTACACGGTAATATTAATTTACCGAATGTATCTTTTCCCTTGCATTGACGAAAGGTGAAAAGGTCTCTCGTTCCATTTTGTATAAAAAAAAGAAGAACAAAAGAAAAGAAAAGAAAGAAAGAGACAGAGACGTATCCCCTAACGCCTTTATCTACAGCTTATTTAACGAGTCTCGGTTAGCTAAGCTCCCGAGCCAATAGAAGATTAAACTCATTATTACCGTGGTCCGGGGCCACTCGAGGGCGCGAAACAGCGTAGCTGGAAAAGCGGCGGAATCGAAGCTAGCGTTCGTGTAGTGTAAATCTTTCAACTGACGGAGAGTTAGGCCCGTAATTACCGCCGCTGGGCACGGTCGTTCCTCGTTCCTTGTTAAAAAGTTGACCGAAAGGGTTTAGGGAGGAGGGGAGAGCTAACCACCATGAAAAATGGCCATAAATCTCGCAAATGCGAACAAAACACGAAAATATACTTCAATTTTCAGAAAAATTTGTATAACAGAGGGTCAATTTTCAGGTTACAAGAATGATTAAAAAAAAAAAATTGGTCAATCCAAATGCATATATGAATGATGATTTACAATGAAAGAGCTTCGTACAGTTTGTGAATAGAAATGGATAAATCGAGATTGAATTCGAAATACTAATGAAAAATGTAGTATCCAGTTGCTGTGTTTTCATTTTTTTTAAATATGATTAAAACAGGGAAGTGGTTCAATTTTGTGAGAAATTAATATCCCAGAGGATTTTCGTTTCAGGCCGCTGACTAAAAATTTCAAGCGAGAATTATTAAAAACAAATTGGCCGGTCGAAATGTGAATGATAAATCATGTTGGGAGAGTTTACGAATGTAAATGGGTATATCAAAATTAGATTGCTTTTAATAAATTACAAGTCTCTAGTGGCAAAGGCAAAGGGCGCGTTAAATTTCGGTTCGCAAAGGTTGACAAGATTTCAAAATATATATCATTTTTTTTTTAATGATAACTCATGTTATTTTAACTGAAATTCGACCTTTGAATTTTTTTCTCTTTTTTTTTTTTTTTTTTTTTTTGTTCTTTCATCACGGGGATATTATCATATTTAATAAAAATTAAAAAGTAGCTTCTAATGAAGATTCTACGAAAACTGTTTATATTATTTGAATGTGACTGAAGCATAAAAATATATACTTATTACAATTTATTAAGGAGTTTGAATTTGCTGATCAAAAGTTTCAAGCAAGAGTGATTGAAAATAAAATAGTTGTTCTAAATGTGAGTGACTTCAATCATATTTAAAGAGTTTGTGGATACAAATGGATAAATCAGGACTAAATTAAAAATTTGTAAATGTTATAATAATCAACAAAACTAAGAGATTAACTAACCGTATGAAAATGAATTATTCAAGGACTGTTTCATTATCTGAATTCTCATCAATGTCAATTTGTCACTTTGTCACTTTGTCTTAATCTCCCTCGTTACGATGAAGAGATCTTGGTTCGGAACGACGTAATATACTAACTAAGATCATCGAATTTGTCTTGCGAATTTCAAATTCAGCGAACGAAACTGGATCACTTTTTGCTAATACGACACAATGCAAAATAACATAACGTAGTATTACACAGTACAACTATAAATACATATATATTTTTGTCGTTGTACTCTAATTAAGTGACATTTAAAAACTAATTTCAAAATAGATACAATGAAGACTCTGATACGAATCGCTATTTATCATCAACTGTTCGTGAATTAATTACTGAAAACACGTAACAGCTTTTGATAAAATTAAAACTCAAAATTTTTAAATATGGCGTGGATAACAAGGTTTTAACACAACAAGAATTAATCAACAAGTAATTAATCAATATTATTTATCATCATTTAAATTTATTTATTCTCTTTTTTACCAGCGTCTAATTCGCTTCTTAATTAGTTCTAACACGATAACTTAATTGTCCTAATAACTTAATTGTTCTAATCGCGAAAATTAGAATACGAAACAAAACTACATAACAGGTTTGTGTGTTGAACATTCCTGAGTGAATGCGTGCAAAGAACAACATCGTCAGGATTAGATAGCGTGCATTTAATGCATCGTTTTTAGAAAATTACGTTTTGTTGGAAGTACATGATATGTAACTTTTACATGCATGTAGCGGCGGGGTTTTAATATCGCGAATGGCGATGCTTGTTCCGAAGACAATTGTGCTGGAAGTAGTTAGTATATACATATGTAGGTTTAGTGTCGAGTGAAGTTCTTGTTAGTGGATTAGTAAAGACTTCATTGGTATTATGTTTGAGTAAACCTGAATTTATAGTTGCTACTGAGAACATTCCGTTGCTGAATTATTTTCCTACTGCGGCAACGAGTGGGCATTTTTAAAAAGTTGTAAAGTCGTAAAAGCAATAAAAAAAAGTTTCGCGGATTTTTATGCATTTATGGGAAATTTTAAGGTGAAAAAATGAATGGAATATTTCGAATCAAGCTAAGATATTTAGCGTTACATTTAGCAAAAGAAATTTTTATTTAGACGTCAATTTCTTAGTCATGTTTATAAAAATGCATAAAAATCATTAAAAATTTCAATTTTGTACTGTGCTAAGGTAAATCTTATAAATATGAAACTAATAAAACTGAATAAGTCTAAATATAAAACTGATGAAACTATATAGAAATTTCTTAGCATTCTTAATATCTTTTTTTAAAATTAAAAGCATATCTTTTTTTAAAATTAAAATCATTCTCTTTCGAAGATCGAATTAACGAGCTTAGAAAATATTATTAAAATTTCAAACTAGTTTATTTTATATACTTTACAGTATTTCTTAATTTATCAAATAATTTACTACATTTCATCGCGAATTGTTATCATTATTTTCTATTTCGTTAAATTAATTCCTTTTATTATTAGTTCATTTCAATTTCTTCAAAATATTATTAAGTTTATTGCAATTTTGCTTTGAATTAAATATCGATAAATTCAACAATTGAAAAGAATTACGTTAATACTAAAATATAAAATATATTAATATTTCTAAATATGCTATAATAATATCCCCCTTTACGTACACTATCAATCCCAAGCCAGTATAATTCTGAATGTGATTAAATAGCTATTAATTATAGATAGCACGTGGCCAGTCTATTGAATCTGATGTTATGTCAATCATATTCCAATATCAGATGAGTATTTTCCCCAACACATAGTACCCATCAAACTTGATAATACCTACTCATCAACGATCACCGAATTAAATTATACCATATTGTAATTCTTACATTATATATCAAATGTTCTTCATAAGTGTGATTATAAAACGAATTTTATATCTATATATGTATAATGATAGAGTATTTTTGTTTGTTTCAACGTGATGCTTTGTAATCAAATGATTGTTTAATGAC